GGTGTGAGCTGGAGAGCCAGTAGCGGGAGAGGGGTCGATCCCCTCTGCCTTCTGGAGCCCAGCGGGCCATGTTTGGTTGGCCTCGTGCTGCCGGCAGGGGTGTCGCAGCGCCGTGGCGGTTAGCCCTGTGGGTGCCAGGACAGCGTTGGCACGCCATGGCAGGTGAAGGCGAGTTTCTCCCGTCGGCGGGCTGTGTGGCAAGCCTTCCCCCGGCGGGATGCCCCTGCGGCTGGGCTGTGAACACCGCCCTCGCACTGTTCTTCCCGCAAGGCTCCGGCTTTGCCAGCTTAATTGAGTTTCCTCAGCGAGAGTTCCCGGTTCCCCTTGCTTGTTACCCACGCTCCTGCTACCAGTTTGCCAGCCATCAGGATACGCGTCCTGGCCATGTGTTCCTGCAGATGCCTTGGCTCCGCGTGTTGGCTGCACAGCACGCCTGAGCCCCCCCCTCCACCACTGATCCCCCGCGCGCTCCTGGCTCTGCCGGCAGCTCGCCGGGCTGCTCCTCCACGCAGGGCTCGCCGGTGCAGACCTTCAGCGTCGCACCCACGGCCCCGTCCCAGTGGCTTGCTGGGTTTTCCCTGGAAGTGGAGAGACAAGAAGATGGCTCTGCAGCTCTCTCGCTGTTTCCCTGAAGCCTCCTGCAGTCTGTGCCACACCGGCGTCCCATTGCCGGAGGATCGGTGCAGTGCGAGGCTTTGCTCCCCAGGAGCGACGTGCCACCCGTTCTCCCCTGCCCTTGTGAATCTCTTGCCCTGTCCTTAGCGTGAACTCACCGTGGATGACTGCAGGCCCCTTCAGGGTAACCAGAGAGCATCTTCTGGTAGTAGCTTCACCCTGAAAAGCAGTTGGGGTGTCCCTAGCAGCTGTGGCTGCCTTGACGGTCGATGCAAGATGGGAGGCGGTACTCTGGCGCTTTGGGAGCTGGGTGCTTGGTGAGCACGGCCGCTCCTGCGCTCCAGCTCCCCCATGGCCGGTCCTTTCTGTGGCTTTCGGTTTAGAGTCCGGTTCCTTGGGTCCTGTGTCACAGGTGTCTCTCCCATCCTCGGCACGCCTTTGACTTCCACCGGACAGCCAACTGCTGCTTTTTCCCCCCTTTGTTCCTACCTCAGCAGAACAGAAAATGCAGCGCGGGTGAAGCGGGTCGCAGCGGGAGCTGCTGCTCAACAGCAGGAGCCACCCCTTCTCTCCAGGCTCCCCCTGAGGCTGGTGGGGGATGGTGGTGGGTCCCAGGCAGGGGCACCCCAGCTATGCTTGCACGGTGTCGTCACCGCAGCAGTGCTCCTGTGCTCGGGCAGGCGTGGGTCTGTGTCGGGTAACGCGGGCTTCCTTGTGCTTCACAGCTACACACTGGAGTGCAACTACAACACGGGGCGCTCGGTGAACAGCATCCCCGTGGCCTGTCACGACAATGGGCGGGCCAGCCCGCCGCCCCCTCCTGCCTTCCCCTCCAAATACACCGTGGAGCTGTTTGAGCAGGTAAGGGGATCCCCAGGAGAGGGGTGGCTGGGTGCACCCTGCCCTGCCCTGCACGCTGCAGGCAGCACTTTCGGCACCTGAGAACAAACTTTGACGTTCTCTGCTGCTGCTCCCCTTGCGTATCCCTGTGAAAACTCCTGCGCCAGTCCATGGTGCGGGTTCGGAGGGGTGTGTGGGAGACCGGGTATTCTCAGTGTCAGTGCCGTAACCTGTCAGTACGTCCCAGCCCATCCCAGTTTGCAGGGCCATCTGTGCCTGCCCCCACCCCTAACCCCAGCCCCAAAACACTTCGCTCGCTGGCTGGGACTGGAGGCTTCTGCCCTCAGCCTCTGGGGCAGCCCGGGGTTGTCCCTCTGCATCTCACACCGCTGCTGGTGCGTGGGGTCCCCGTTCCCTCCCCACCGGGTGTGGGGCTGCCTGCTCTCGTGTAGCCCCCAGCAAGAGCTGATGGGTCCCTGTGGCTGTGGGCTCGCCCTCACCCCACACATGTGCTGCGCACCTGGAGCCTTCCTATGGGAATGTTCATCCTGCCAGGGAGCTCAACTGGAGCCTGCAACAGGGATGAAATGAGGCTCTGAGGGGTTGTCTCAGATTTGGGGTCAGGTTGTCTTTCCTTCGCCTCCAGTCCCAGGGAGCTGCTGCGTCTCTCTCAAGCCCTTTCTCACTGGTTGCCTCGTGCCCTGGCAGGTCGGGAGAGCCTTGGCTGTGGCAGGGCTGGACATGGCCGAGTGCAATCCCTGGCCCCGGATCGTCCTGTCGGAGCACAGCTGCCTCAGCAACCTGCGCGCCTGGATGCTGAAACACGTGCGTGGCATGAAGGGCGCAGGCGGGGGGCCGGGGAGGAGAGGAGGTGCCAGGACCCCCCCCAGGAGCTCCACGTAAGGGCCTGCCGGGTTGAGTGTTCAGGAGCTGCAGGATAACGCCAATTAGAGATGATAAATGTGCTCCAAGTGAGTCACCCTGCAGCTAACGAAGCCCAGGTTTATTTGCTTGCTTTCCCACCTGGTCGGGGGTCCATGCTTGTCCCTGCAGAGTTTGCTTTGCGAGCAACAGGCGTCCCTCAGCACCAGCTCGTTGCAGCCATGCAGGATGAAGCCATTTGGGGTTCTCCTGCCCCAGTAACTGGGAGGCGATTCTCTGCCTGCAGAGAGAACCAGCGTATCTTCCGTTTCTCTCTCTCCCCAGCCCAGTCCAGCGCTGGACTGGGATGGATTTGGGACTGGGGGTGAAGGAGTGGGAACGCTGAAACAACGCTGCTGCCCCGAGGCTGCCGGGACAGCGACCTACAGCGAGGGGGACTGGGATCTGCTGCGGCTCAGGGACAGCCCCCCGTGACGTGGGCTCAGTTCCCGTCCCCAGCTGCTCGCCAGCCATGGGGGAAGAATTCTGGGGGTCTGATGGAGATGGGGTCTGCAGCAGCAGCCTAATGCTGGGTGCCTGGGCTGTGGGAGGACAAGGACGGGGGGAGCGCAGAGGGCTGGCGGAGGGGAGCCCCTCCCCACCAAGCTGAGCTGAGCCTCCTGTTTCTCATCCCTTCCAGCGGGCTCCCCACCTCGGCCTCCGATAACGCCCTGTCCCGCATGAGGAGCTTCAGCAACGGCACCAGCGGGAGCGGCAGCAGCCAGCAGGACTCGCCGCAGATCAAAGCCTCCCCCAGCTTCACCTTCAGCTGCAGCAGGCCCTCGGCTCCGGCCGCTGCGAGCCAGAGTCCTCAGAAAGGCAGCAGCAGAGCCCCGGCACCGGGCAGAGGTAAGCTGGGCTGGGGGCCTCTCGTGCGCTTGATCCAGTATCTGTCAAGCTGCTGTGCAAAGCCACAGCCCTGAGGAGAGCCCTGTGATGGCGTAACTGTGTGCTTTGACGTAATAAAAGTGGTTTTGCGTGGAAGAAGTACGTGTGAACCGCCACCCCATCCCCTCGGAAGGGTCCTGGATGCCGTGCTCAGCTCCGCACTCCGTCCCGAGCAGAGCAGCCCCGGCTGGGTCAGGACAGACACTACACAGCGAGACCCCTGGCTTCTCCAGCCCGGCCTCTGCAGGGAGGCGAGGGGGGGGCCCAGCTGAGCTCCTGCCCAGTGGCTCTGCAGCCCCTGGCTAGGGAGAAGCCACCCGCTGCTTCTGCTGCACTGAAACCGGGGGGACTCTGTCCGCTGCAGGCTGC